GAGATATTTTCCTTCACTTATTGTCTCGTGGATATCTTTTCAATGTGAGGAATATCCTCTCTTAGACAATAGTCACAGCAACATATGTTCCTATTGGAAGATTTCCAGTATATTCCTAGTTTGGTGGCAACAAAACATTTTGGACTTACCCTCATTTTTTTAATTACTGGTGATATTGGTGATCAGGACAACTGGTGAAAGTGGATCTCCATAAAAGTTATGCCTTTAGTTATACTTTAAGACCAATTCCACACCTATGTGTGATGCAAAATCTCTTCACGCAAACTCTCCCAGTTGGGCTGTGCATGCACAGAAGATTCCCTATTCATTCCTATAGGAAGCACGCTGATTGTTGAGACAAACAATCAATGGGCTTCCTATTAGAATGGGTGGGCAATTTACTGCATATGTGGGAGAGTTTCTGTGAAGAGCCTGTGATGCATCCAGTGGTTCAACAGTGACAATTTATGTGGATTGTGGACAGGTAAGGGTCAGACTTGAAGAACTTGCTAGGAGAGAAGGAAACTACATGTTTAGGATATCCAATACATGGCATAGTTATTACATTAGGTTTTACACCTCAAATGCCAATTTTTTGACTCTCCAGGGCATCCTCTTGAGTACATAATGGCCAGGAAGTCAAAAAGGTTACATTTGCACATGTAGGAGTTCTGTCTTAACCTGCAGTGCCCCTAGATCCAAGTGTCTGCAGCTAGGGTGTATCTAGCATAAGCTTTGCTTATGCTATCTGGTTTGTTAAGTTTCTCCTAAAACCAGGGACATTGTTTTCTTCTGCCTTTTCCAGTGTTCTCCAGTAGATAGAGTGAGAAGATAAAATGTATTGGGTTATGAATATTTATTCTGCCCTGGCCAATCAATGAGGGTTTTATGCCAGAGATGTGGGATGGAGACCTTCTAGAAGGGGCCTTGCCTCTCAGTCTTTGCTCTTAAGTGCATGTGTATGCAGCAGAGTCTTTGCCCCCAAGTCTTTGCCTGGAGAGGGTGTACTTACAGAGGTCCTCAGCTTCCAGGCCTGCTGCCAGAAGACGTGTAGCTGAAAGAGGTGGAGGCAGACAGAAAAGAAGAGATTGTTTCTTAACTACCTCTCTGGACCAAGAGCAGCTTTTCTCAACCAGGGTTCCATGGAACCCTGGGATTCCACCAGATGTTGCTAAGAGTTCCTTGAGCAATGAGCAACATCTGCCTCTCAGATGAGGACCCACTCTCAACAATGGTATCTTTAGTTGTCTGTAAAGGCATCATCTTCTCAATGACCACAAATGTAAGAAGCATTCTTCTAGGTGACCATCATGCTAGTGTACTGTGAACCGTTGATATAGAAGTTATTAGCAAAGGTTCTCTGAACCTGGAAAGTAATTTCCATGTTACAAAGGTTGAGAAAAGCTGGTCCAGAGTGTCCTAAACTAGCGTGTGAGAGAGGTCTGAAAATTCCTAATCTGGTTTGTGGGCAGATGACGAACGTACTTAAAGATAGCTGCCCATCTGGGCCTGCAAAGTTCACGTTAGACTGAGAGTTCTACAGATTACTGGTGGCAGTGGTTTAAAGGAGTTTAATGACAATTCTATTGTGCATAGAGATTTTTGCTGTTGTTTATTGGTATCCTGTACACCTAGCCTTCTTTCCCAAAAGAGAAAATTGATAAATTACAAAAAAGGATTGAATAATATGAAGATTGTCTGTTACTGTTCGTGGGTTGGTGAGTGCCTGGGTGCTTCTACAGGGCAAGCCACTGTTAAAATCCAGCAGCTCATAAGGGGGTAATTGCTGTACACATTTGTACAGTCATCTGATGGTTGCAATATGTGCACTCTGCAGGATGCAATTCTCACTTGACTTATTGGGTCCCCTCACAGTTTTGCTGTCTACAAGTGAAGATGTCATAACTACTTTTAAAAAACTAATAGCTGGGTTTGCAAAGGCATTTGGTGCATGCAAAGTAGATTTATATCCTTTGTGGCTATTTAGAAATATATTTACATGAACATTTTTGTGCCTGAGGTTCAGCTTTAAATCTGAAAGCACAAACTGGGTCAGATGAAAACTTTATTCATCGGCATTCGGCAATACATAAATACTTTACATTTAATTTTTTGCACTTTAGTAGAGTTTTACTTCCTAACAGGCAATTCTGCCTGTAGACATCTAAAAGAATTCTTTGTTTTATGATGTCTGGGTGTAGAATACACATGTACTCTGAGTCTATATACGTGCAGAACAGATCATACAGGTTCAGATCTTCACCTTTATAGGTACATTCCTTGTCTGTTCGTCTCTGTGTTGTGGTAAACAAGTTCTTTTCATTTTCCACTTCTGCAGGCACAGAGCTCATTACGTTTACTGATAGAGACTAACATACTGCTGCCATTTCACTCTGCAGAATTCAATGACCCTCCTCACCCCTCCCAACCAGTACTCAGCCTACCAATGCTTTTAACATTCCTGCCTATGTGTATCAGCTGCTCTCTCCTTTCTTCTCATCTCTGGATTTCACCCCCTCCTTCTTATTTATCTCTCATTCACTCCGCATTCCCTGTTACCCCCATTACTCCTTCTCCCTCCTTTGTGGTCCATATGGTAACAATGCAAAGAGCAATAATGTGAAGTATCCTGCAGCAACTCATCCCATTTCACCATTCATCCATTTATAGCTGAAACTAATGATTTCTACATGCTGCTGTTGACTTTAATGTAAATCTGTCACATACCTAGGCAATTCCAACTAAGCATACGAGGACAAATAATAGTCAGCAAAAATCATGTTAAAATATTTAGTAATTTATAAGTAAATCTGCACTGTGGACAAGTTTGGTTTGAAGACCTTCAAGAAGAATTGAACTTAAGAAGCTGTGCCCAAAACAGGCCAGGAAATAGGAAAAGGACTAGTCACCAGTGTTATAGTGGTCTCTCTGCAGATGATCTTTCCCCATTACTGATTTATAAAGCTTTGTTCTGCACTATGTCTCTATAACTCTGCCATCTTGGAAGAGGCAGGGCTTTGCTTCCTCATTTCAGAGCCACCAGTATAGAGCACATTGAGTAGCACAGTCAGGTTTCCAGCCTTTCCTCCACAATGGCAGCCATCTCCTCCATCTACATAAGAGACCATGGTTCCTCTGGATATAGACCTATAGACCACCATCATCTATGAGAACAGTTTGGATCTTTCAAGAACCAAATGGACAGCTAAGTATTACGCTATCCATTTGAGAGTTATATGGCTTGGAACTTATATTGAATAAACTGGTGGTTCCCCTATTAGGCAATTACAAGTTATGCTTTACAGTTGGGAGAAATTTCCTATGAGGATCTAATTGCCAATGGGGGAGGGGACAAAAGGTGCCATGCTATAAGCTACACACAAGCATACATTATACAGGATTTATATAGCGCCAGCAGTTTGCTCAGCACCTTATAATATAAAGGGAGACAATACAGCAAGTATACAGTTCAATACAAGAGAGTTAGGAGGGCCGTGATCCTTGGAGCTTACAATCTAAGAGATGGGATAACATGGGCACCTCTCTCTAGGAGTCTTCCAGTGACGCCTGATATATTTGCCATAACTCATTTAGACTCTACATTGTTTATATGTGGGTTGGTCCTATAATACATTCCATTAGGGCAGGCATCACTAAATGGCAGACCGGCGTCTGGATGAGGACCGAGTCACTGTCCCATCCGGACCCATGTGGTCCCGGCATTTCGAAGCATTTTCTTCCCCCAGTCGTTTCGCGGTCATCCTCACAGAGCTGACAGCAGAAGGCAGGACAGTTCTGGATGGAGGGCACGAGCTGCCTGAGGTTAACAAGCAGGTGATTGGTTGCTAGGATGAAGGCAGTCCTAGCAATCAATCACTGTCTGTGTAAGGTAGGATAGTGTGGGGGGGGGGCGAAGTTAAAGGAACTAAGGACATTAGTGTGAAGGGGGGCTGATGTGAAAAGGAGCCGAGGACTGAATGTGGGGGGGCTGAGGACTGAATGTGGGTGGCTTAGAACAGTAATGTTGGTGGGGATCTGAGGACATTTAGTGGGGGGGGGGGGCTGAGAACAATAATGTGGGGGGACTGAGGAGAGTAATGTGGGGGGGGGGGGTTGAGGACATTAAACTTAAAGTGGAGGAGTAATGAGGGGGCTAAGGACAGTAACATGGGGGGGAGTTGAGGACAGCAATGTGGGGAGATGATGTAAAAAGTGGAAGAGTATTCTGCAGTGAAGGGGAGAGTACTGTTGGGGGAGGGGGAGTTTGATGCCAAGGCAGTGTGAAAACACTACTGTGAAAGGGGTAAAGGGGGAGCGGAGAACACTCATCAAGAGGGGATCTTGCTGTGAACGAGGAGGGGACTGTGATGTGTAGTGGGGATTGAGGACACTGATGTAAGAACAGGCTCAGATCTGTACATGTGCATTTGGCGCACACACTGTAGGTAGGTCAGCCCATTCATTTTAGTGGGCTGCACTACCCATGAGAAACACGAAGAAGTTCCCGATCCTTTTTTTTTTCAAAATCTCACCGTAGCAACACGTAGTTTGGTTCACATGAAAATACACCACAGGTGCCTACATGAGGTTTGGACCTCTGATGCATGACAATTTTGCTATGATTTCAATACAATAAAAATAAACAATCCAATTAATACGTGTCCAATCCCTGGTCACCAAGATATCACTTTCTCCCCAGAAAGTTCACAATGTAAGTCCTTCCCAGCGTCCAAACAGTAAATATCCCCTACAACCGTGTGTACTCTCCTTCTTTACCAATTTCCTTGGATGTGCAGTTCTCTCAACTTCACATTCATATCTTCATCTTCATCTTTATACCCTCAAAAAAATGCACATAAAACACATAGTGCATTACCCTTATAGAATCACACATTTCTTAACCACCTCCCACCCACCATATAGTAATATGATGGACGCAAGGTGGTTCTCAGGGAGCGCGCAGCACGGCGATCGATCACCAATCACGGTAAGAGCCGAAGATGTCGGCTCGGTCATGTGATCAGCTGTGTCCAATCACAGCTGATCACATGTAAACAGGGAAATGCCGGTTCTCTCCTCTCGAGCTGTCACACTGACAGCTCGAGAGGACAGCCGGTAATCATCTTTCTGCAGAGGGGACATGTACACTGATCATCAGGGCACTGATGATCAGTGTGCCTTGATGATCAGTGTAGCCCCAGCAGCGCCACTTGTCAGTGTCCATCAGTGCCTTGTGTCAGTGCTCATCAGTGTCTCGTGCCAGTTCCCATCAATGCCACATATCAGTGCCCATCTTAGCTGCCTTTCAGTGTCCCCCATCAGTGCCAGTCAGTGCCACCTATCAATGCCAATCAGTGGCACCTATCAGTGCCAGTCAGTGCCGCTCAGTGCCGCTTTTCAGTGCGCATCAGTGCCGCCTATCAGTGCCAGTCAGTGCCACCTAACAGTGCCAGTCAGTACCGCCTATCAGTGCCAGTCATTGCCGCCTATCAGTGCTGCCTTTCAGTGCCCATCAGTGATGCCTGTTAATGCCCATCAGTGCCACCTACCAGTGCCTCCTCATCAGTGCCCATCAGTGCCACCTATCATTGTCCATCAGTGCAGCCTATCTGTGCCCATCACTGCAGCTTCATTAGTGCATATCAGTGAAGGAGAAAAATCACTTATTTACAAAATTTTATAACAAACACTAAGAAGAAACTTTTTTTTTTCAAAATTTTCAGTGGTTTTTGGTTTGTTTAAGAAAAAATAAAAAACCCATAGGTGATTAAATACCATCAAAATAAAGCTCTTATCTGTCACAAAAAAATTCAAAAAATTTCATATGGGTACAGTGTTGCATGACCGCGCAATTGTCATTCAAAGTGCGACAGCGCTGAAAGCTGGAAATTGGCTTGGGCAGGAAGAGGGTATAAGTGCCCTATAGGCTAGTGGTTAAATAAGTCACACTCACAAAATGTGTTCAAAATCCGTGCGTATATCCAAGGAAATTGGAAAAGAAGGAGAGTTCACACACGGTTGTAGGGGATATTTATTGTTTGGATGCTGGGAAGGACTTACATGACAATTTTACTGGCCGGACCTCGGTGAATATTAATTCATTACCCCTGCATTAGAGGATTTCTCCATGGACTATGAGTGGTCATCTAGCGACATGAAGTGGCCCACCAGATACAAATATGAAGAGAGGTTTCATTTATGTGATACAGTTATATAGTTCACACAGACTATGCCCCTTGCTGGGGTATAAACATTTGCTAATATTTTCTTATGCAGTTTTGTTTTTTCATGGGGGTGATGCCTAATATATAATTTTCCCTGAAGCTGCTATGTTTGGGTTTTTAATAATTGGCCGATTATGGTTTTACAAATTAGACAGTAGGTTCTTGGACATTCTAGGTTTTCAATAGCTTATTATTTTACTTTAGTTATTGAATGTGTCAAGCGGTTTTCTGGGCTTCTAACACATATCTTCACTGAGGGATACATTATAGATTTTGATACACTGAGGTTGAGCTTCAGTCTGGCTTTTATTAATACTCTTTCTTTTTAATATGTATACATACCGACAGTTCCCTCAAGGTATATACAGATTGTGGGTTGGTTTTTGTTTTTTTTTTGGTCTTGAGGACACATTTTATCTTTGTATTTTTAATCATTGCTGTCCTCGATAGACATGTAACTCCGGTGGTCACTGGTCGTGCATTGACTATCTTCTGGATGATGGTCATTGACATTTAACCAAGCACGGGTGTCAAACTGGTGGCCCTCCAGCTGTTGCCAAAGTACAAGTCCCATGAGGCATTGCAAGATTGACAGTTACAAGCATGACTCCCAAAGGCATAGGCATGAAGGGACTTGTAGTTTCACAACAGCTGGAGGGCCACCAGTTTGACACCCCTGGGCTAGGGCATCACAGACACCCCAATCCCATTCTGTGTAGGGTCATCAAATTGGCCTGGGCTCACAGGAAAATGCAGCAAAGAACACCGCTTGCTTGACTACTTGAGCAGAATTTTCTGCGGCATTCAGGATCACCCACCTTGGTAGGACCTCTGGGCATTATGACTAGGACTAAAAGATATATGCATTGATTTAAGGTATGTATAACAAGAGTTTTAAAAAAGTTGTGGGACATGGGGTAAACTGGAGAATGGCTTTAAGGCAAATGTGTTAAAATCTAACAACCAATCAGATTTCAGATTGTAGTCAGATCAGAGAAAGATGAATGCTGATTGATCACTGTGGTTTATTACACTGTACAGGTTGTTCTAAAATAAAAAAAGTAGTCTCTCCTCTCTGTCTTTTCATCTTTTTTTCTCTCCCACCCTCATAACTATAGAACACATGGGATCAGAGACCTATTTTCTTCCTCTTTAATCGGTTGCATGAGGGCACAGCTCAGCTCTGAAGGTACAGTGGATGGACAAGGACATGGCAGTGTAGAGAACAGCTTTTCTTCTGAAGTACAATATGTTCCAGAGAATCAGGGTACAACAGAGAGGTCAGCAAGGTAGAGGGCCATCCATGCACCTGCTCCTTCCCTGATAGCGCTACAAAGCACAAACATCCGAAAACTGAACAACATACTGTATCTGTCTCTGCCATCTGACCTTTTAAATACGCAGCTTGGCCAGGAATGGCGATCACTTAGCGATGTAACCCTTTTGGCTCAGTAACCTTCCCTGGCATCCTATTACTTTTTTTATTGTTGCACATTGCTCTTCCGTGTGACTTATAACCCATTGTTTTCTCTTCCCACGTCTTTTACAAGTGTGCTGAAAATGTCTACCTTCCTTTCTTAAATTGTGTCTCTTTATTGAACTTTTCAATATATATATATATATATATATATATATATATTTTTAGAAATAGGTAACAAAAATTTGTCATTATGAATGCCCACACAGAGGAATGCGGACCCGCAGGCAGGTGCCATTAGTTCTAATGGCACGCCACCCGCACTGGAAGACGCAACCGTACTGGGAACTGAGGTTCTCATGCGGGCTGTGTTTTCAGAAGAAGTGCAGGGACTTCTTCCCTGCGTGTCACGGGGCACGGGAGTCCATTCAAATGAATGGGCTCTCGTGCCCGCGTAAAACGCATAACCTAAATCCTTTCTTTCTTCAGTCCTTCCTACACCCTTCTGCAATTCTTTCCTTTGCTCACATATCTTCTCTCTATTTTCTCTCTTATAGGTTCCTACAGTTTGCTTCTTATAGATGGTTACCTCTTCCCTCTTTTTTGTCATATTTTTCTTGATATGCATTAGCCAGTGATGTTGTACTCTATTTATATTAATCTTCCCTGTCTCTGGTACCTCATATTTCTTGATATGAAGCCTGTTTCCCATGTTTTACCCATGCATGCTTTGCTGTGTATGTAATCCAGAGCGTTGCTGTGTGCAAAGCAGTGTCCTGATAGTCATCCTCGCCTTACATAAGCATCAGACTCTTTATCCAAACTCGCTGTGACAGACTCACCTTCTGCATCGCTGGGCTGAGCGGGGGTGTGAGAGTCAGAGGGTGGGTGTGGGTGTACTGGAAGAAGGGGGGGGGGGGTGGGGGCAGGTGACCATAGTCTGTCAAAAATCATCATGTCTTACAGCTTTCGGAAGGAGAGCCTTGTTGATGGCCTGAAAACATAAATTATATATATTTTGTTGTGCAGACACAGAACTGGCCATAGTCTCTCTCATGGTCCAACATTTATTACTGTATATAGAAACAGGTCTCATTGCGCATGATTGTGTACATTTTAAGTATCTCTATACACAAACTGGGTTTTTTTTTTGGGAAGATGCTAATTGGATAAGTCATCTCTTGGGGATTCTGGTGGAGGAATCTCTGCACGTGAGTTTCCAACTCAAGGTACACTGGGAAAGGGGCTGTCTCAGAATCATAGCTGAGGATTTTTAATTTATTTTACATCACCTGGTTAATTTATTTTACATCAGTGGTAAAGATACACTCCTATAGCTCTATCATTCATGTTTGTGCAGTGTGCAGATTTCCTGCCCCATGCTGTCTTTACTTGGTGGAATAATAGTGGTCAACCACTGCAATCCAACAGGATACAGTAACAGAAAGGTAGGCTTGGGTGACCATCATTTTTTTTTCTACATGTACCTTAAGAGTCAACTGCTCTGATGCAGTGGAAGTTTGAGCATGCCTAGACTTCCATTTCCACACAAGCCATACATTGCCTACATGCCTACAGTTCTCAGACCACTAACAGATCACTTTTTCTAAATTTTCAGGTAGGAGCACAGTGAGTTTATGAGTAAAGAGAAATGCCATCAAGGGTGCAGTAAACCCACACACACCAAACCCACCATGACCTAAAACCTAGCTTTTATTTATTTTATTACAGGTCCTTATATAGCACTGTCAATTTACGCAGCGCTTTACATATATATTGTTACATTCACATCACTCCCTAACCCTCAAGGGGTTTACCATCTAAGGTCCCTAACTCATATACAAGGGCCAATTTAGACAGGATCCAAATAACCTATCAGCATTTCTTTGGAGTGTGGGAGGAAACCCACGCAAGCACAGGGAGAACATGCAAACTCCAGGCAGGAGGTGCCATGCCTGGGATCCGAGCCAATGACCCTAGTACTGCCAGGTGGAAGTGCTAACCATTTAGCCACTGTGCTGCCCATTTATAACTATTTAATACTCATAATATAGGAAATGGAAGGAAGTCATCAAAAATGGCAGGTGTATAACCTTATAAGGCAATGCAGAAATAGTCCAAGAATCCAAAATGGTGGTACAGATATACTACTGCCTTCATTACGGGTAGATAACAATCAGACAGCAAATATGTCTTTTTAGCTGCTGTTAGTCTTTCTGTCGAAGTGGAAATATGTATACGGTAGGGTTAGTATCCTGGTCACATACTACAACCCAAAGGCATGGAATAATACTGAGGGTTACTGTGGTTACTCAAAGACTTAGCTGCCCATCAAAATCAGATATACCACAGTGGCCTACCAGCCTGGTAAAAAAATATAGGTGACAGAAAACAAAATAAATTATTATTATTATTATACAGGATTTATATAGCGCCAACAGTTTGCTCAGCGCTTTACAATGTAACGGGAGGCAATACAGTTCAATACAAGAGGGTTAGGAGGGCCTGCTCCTTGAAACTTACAATCTAAGAGATAAATAAATAAATATAGTCCAAAGTTCCGTATAGGTGACTCGCACAAGTGAATAAATAAAGTGCAAACAGAACGTAGCAATCCTCCTCTTGAAATCAGTGTTAAGTGCATTCAAAACACCCCGTGTGTTCCACCAATTAAAATGAGGCTTACCAGAAAGACTGGGACCCTCAATACAGAAGTTAGAAAACACTTGTATATTGATCCAAAAATTGGTCACCACCAGGCTTGACACCCTCCTAGGGGTTCATCCCTCATTGGCATATACCAGGCCAATTAATAATACATAAAAAAGGCAAAGAGACCATTACAATAGTGTAAATCTGGCATGTATTGAACTTAAAATCAGCTACAAACATGAACATGAACGCTGTGCATAAAGGCATATACAAAACAACACATCCCAGAATGTCTCGAGGTACGCATGCTTGCACGATGATGCCACTCTCTCCGACTTTCATCATAAATGACATCTTCAGGGGCACGAATGGTGCCATTTCTGATGAAACTTGCTGGAGGCAGTAGTATATCTGTACCACCATTTTGTATTCATGTACTATCTCCATATTGCCCTATAA